TTTTTGGGGTCGTATACAAGAATCCCCTATAACCAAGCCAAAAAGGAACTCCATTCGAGCCTTCCAAGAGCCGCAGAAGGGCCTGCAGTCAAGATCAGGCCCCATATGTGTAATGTGGCGTGCGCATGCGTAGAACTTACGACGCCAGATCTGGAAGAGGGGTCATGCACACGTAGGGCCTGCTGTGTATGTGCTCGCCGTCACACAAGGGTCAGGGAGGGCCGTAGTCTAAACCTTAAACCCTATAGCATCCTATAGCCTCATAAACCTTTTTGACCGGAAAACTTAAAGCCAAAACCGGCAACTCTTAACGCACCAAGCCAAAAAAGCCTAAACCCTCAACCCTGAACCCTAAACCCTTACAAGCCGGGCAACCTGGAATGCGGGGCAAGACGCGAGCCCACCTTCTTAATATAGGGGTCGGAATAATTACTGGTTTAGTGTTCAGGGTTCAGGGTCCCTTTGTAACTATACTATAATAACCCCCAAGATCCTTTTCCAGCTATTTAGGCATCTCAGAGAACTTCAGGGTTTGGGCGGTTCAGGAGGGTTTAGGTTTAGGGCTTCTGGGGTTTAGGGGTTTTAGGATTTGGGGGTTTAGGGCTCGGGCTTTGGGGTTTGAAAGCTCTAAAGCCTTGCAAAACCTGAACCCTGAAGCCCGCAACTGCCTCAAGCCCCGCTAAAACCCTAAACCCCTCAACCGGGTTTAGGGTTTAGGGTTTAGGGTCTGGGGTTAAACCCTAAACCCCTACATCCCAAACCCCAAACCCTGAAACTCGCAGAGCAAACCCTAAACCCTAAACCCTTAACCCTTACCCCCCAAACCCTTAACCCTGAACCCTCTCAAAACCTTCAGAGCCTTCGGAACCCCAGGCTCTGGGGACGAGATGCGCAAAGCAAAGCGAAGCTTGTCGACTCCTCCCGGCACACCGTGCTCATCGCAGGCGAGGGTTTAGGGTTTGTAAGGGTTAAGGGTTTAGGGTTTAGGGTTTAGGGTTAGGGTTTAGGGTTTAGGGTTTAGGGTTGGGGATTTCGGGTTTAGGGCAGTTTAGGGTTTAGGGTTTAGGGTTCAGGGCATTTAGGGTTTAGGGTTTAGGACAGTTTAGGGTTTAGGGTTTAGGGTTTTGCGTTTAGGCCTCCTTAGGGTTTAGGGTTTGTAGGGCTTGCAGGCTTTTACGGTTTGGGCCTCAGGGTTTTTGAGCTTGTAGCCTGTAAGTTGGGCTGTTCCCCCTTATACTAACCCTAGGGATTATACTGGGAAGCAGGGTACGATAATCCCTGTTAGTACAAGGTGGAACATCCCAACATATAAGCTCAAAACCCCTAAAGCTTCAAACCGCAAAAGCCTGCAAACCTAAGGTGTTCAAGACTTTTTGTGGTTACTCCTCCATTTCCTTGGTGTACAAGGGCTCTGCTGCAGCAGGCTCAGTTCAGGGAAGTCTGAGTACAGAACCCAGCGAAAACTGGACCCTAAACCCTACATAACCCTAACCCTAAGGATCCATGTACCTCATTATGACATACTTGTGCCCCAAAATCCCTATACAGAAAGTACTTTTAAGGCCCAAGTATTCAATACTTAGGTACATGGAACCTTAGAAGCCCTCAACAAGCCCAAGTCCACAAAGCACCTCAGTCATCCTCAAGCCGGTTAGACTCTATCTGTCGGGTCTGGGAGCTTCTTAAGCAGTTACTCGTAGCTACTTACCAATCGCGTACCCTTAAACCCAGAACCCTCAACCTCCTCAACCCCCCTCAACCTCTTTAACCCCCTCGACCTCCTCAACCCCCTCAACCCCCTCAGCCACCTCAACCTCCTCCCCTCAAAGACTTCAAAAAAACCCTAAACGCCCCTCAACAGCCCCGAAACCCTAAACCCCCAAACCCTAGACCCCAAACCCCAAACCCTAAACCCTAAACCCTAAACCCCCTTACTAGCTTGAGGACACCCCTCACCTCTGTCCTACGAGAAGCACTTCAAGGGCTGCGGCCACTTCCACAAGGTCAACGAGCCTCCCGGCCACAGCATCCCAGAAACCCCAAAAAAGAAGAACCCAGGAAACTCGGTTTCGGGTTTTGGGTTTTGGGTTTTGGGTTTAGGGTTTTGGGTTTAGGGTTTAGGGTTTGGGTTGAGGGTTTCGGGCTTAGGGATATTTTGTATGTTCCCTTATTGGGTTTCAGAGGATCACTATTCAGTAACATTTTTTCAAGGACGGGGCCAACCTGGGAAAGTATGTGGAGCCTGCAGGCGCACGCGCCGGGGGTGGTGTGGGGATCGTGCGGAGGTTTAGGGTTTAGGGTTTAGGGTTCAGGGTTTAGGGTTTAGGGTTTATGGTTTAGGGTTTAGGGTTTAGGGTTTAGGGTTCACGGTGTAGTTTCTTAAATAAGTGGAGGGCCCCTACCCACCCCTCCACCCCTCCGCGCCCCTCCACCTTCGCCTCCACCCTCCCCTCCACCCCTCCACCCCCCACCTCCCCTCCGAGTGGAGGGGAGGCGGAGGGGGGAGGGGTTGGAGGAGGGGTGGAGGAGGGGTGGAGGAGGGGTGACTCCACCCAGCTCCACTGGGTGGGTTGGAGAAGGGGTGGAGGGGTGGAGGGGGTGGAGGAGGGGGGTGGAGACGACGCCGGCGGAGGGGGGGGTGGAGGAGGGGTGGAGGAGGGGTGGAGGAGGGGTGGTGGGGTGGTGGGGTACCGCTTGTTTAAATTGGGCTTGCCGGCCCGATCGAAACCCCGACGGAGGTAGTATAAAATATCTGTTTAGATATTTAAAAATCCGCATGTTTAAAAAGCGTCACCGTAGGGTTTAGGGTTTAGGGTTTCTGAACCTAAGCCCTGAAGCCAAAACCCTGGACATCCCTGAACCCTGAGCCGCGCCATTGTGAAATCATGTCTGTCCCAACCTTCACCTAGGACCCAGAGTAGGCCCGTATTCCTTTTGTGTAGGGTCGAGGTTCCCTGCAACAGCCCCTTTCAACCAAAAAGGGCACCCTTTTATTCCCAGGTTACTCTTGGGTCAGCCTAAACCCTCAAACCTAAACCCTAAAGCCTAAACCTTACAACCTAGGGCACCCTTTTTCTTCCTTGGCTTCTCTTGGGTCGAGTCAAGAGATGCGGCAGGGCCTGGGACTTATGGTTGATGGCTCGGGGTGTAGGGTCGGTGTCCGGGGTTGGGGTTTCGGGTTCAAGGGTGTAGGCTTTAGGGTTTAGGGGGTTTAGGGGGTCAGGGTGTACGTAAAGTTGTTGCTGATTCAGGACTTAGGGTCTAACGGCGTGAGCTTTGAGGGATGCGCCGTGGGTTTTGTACTCTACCCCCTGTATACTAAACCCTAAACCCTAAACCCTAGCCCTAAACCCTAAACCCTACTTCAAAGCAGCCTAAGCCTTGAAACAGTCGCTGAACCCTGCGCTTTAAACCTTGGAAGTCTCTGCAGACCCCCACAATGAACAGCAACAAACATGAGTTTTAGAGGGTTTCGGGTTTAGGGTTTAGGGTTTTGGGTTTACGGTCTAGGGTTTAGAGCTCATGTCTTCGAACTGTCTGTCGCTAAGC